CCCCAAAACCCCAAAACCCCTTCTATAAATATTTTCTGAATTAGATGGAAATTAAGAAATTAAGATTAAACAGTAGATAAATTTGAAATTCTGCTTGGATAAAGTTAAATTTATTTATTTACTTATACTCTATAAGTATGATTTTATTAAATTGCTCACAGTTAGTCGGATTTTTATTCTTTTTAATTAAAGCTTGTAAATTTTCCTCGCTAATTTTTAAGTCTTTATGAATTCGGATAATATAACTCCTCCTCATTTTCAGTGTGAAATTAACTCTTTTTACGCATTTTAGAATTTTTCCTGCTTTAAAATTGTTCAAACAGGGATTATGTATCTTAGTCTCTACTAATGCCATTACTGAAATTATTTTAAGAAGTATTCTGAATTCTCTCACTGCTATTTCCTACCTATTTATTATAATCTGATATCTGATTTGTAATACTTGTTTCTTATTCATTTTAAGACGTTCTCTTAGATAGGGTTGGATCTTAACTATCATAGATAATTTCTGATAATTGGGACATATTCAGTCCATTTCTATAAGAGTTTAGTATGACCTCTGATAATCTTGTTTTTGGTTCTCTCTTGATCCTTCCAGTATTAGGCAGTTAGAATTGAATTTTCTACTAAGGTGCTTAAGATTGATTATCTGATAATTTGTCTATTTACTCAATTTCTATTGTAAATCCTTGTTTTTGACTGAATTTACTTCTCATTTCGCTTGCATTATTATATCTATTCGATGATAGTTCTTTGATTTAATTTGTTACAAGATCAGAAGAGCTCTTTTTATCCTTAGGCTTCTTATGCTTTTGCCTTTTCTTTTTACCCTTTTACTCAAAAGTATAAGCTGCTGAGTCTTACTCATCATTTATGAAATTCATTTAGGAATTATGTTCAGATTAGTTGCTCTCTGAAACTTTAATCTCATTAAATGCATCTTTGATGTTCTCTTCTTATGCTACAAGAAGTCTATCTTTAACATTATCATTAACTGGAGAAAAGATGTTCAATTTGTGTTAGTAAGGAGAAGTTGGCTGCCATTAGTTATATTAAAAATCAGTCTATGCAAAATTTAAAAGCTGCTTATTAATTATTTAACTTGCAATTCTTTGCTAAGGAGCTTTCTTCTTGATCTTTTTGGTTTATTTTCTGAATTTTGAAGCTATTGGGTGATGTATCTAAAATTTTACATCAATATTATCATTTTCCTTTATTCTTTCTCTCATTGTTAATTCCTATAAGTCTTCAATATCACTCTCTTCATACTTATTTTCGTGAACTACTGGAAGCTCTTAACCTAAGTGAGTTATTGCACTTGTCAAAAGCAGATTATTAGGGCTAAAAGCTGAATTTCTTCTTTAGTTTTTCTTTTTAAATCCATCTTAAATTTTGTTAATAAACTTAGCTTTTTACTATGACTGAATTTGATAAATAATTTTAGTTTTTAATGACTTTCTAACTCTAATTTTAATTATTAACAGCTTTATCTTGTAAAATAGCTCATAAAAGTTATATCTTATGATAATAAGCAGATTCATCGCAATATTAAAAAGAAAAATGCCTACAAATACAAATCCTGTATTATATTTAACTTGGTAATATTAGACTAGATCTAGGTAAATAATCATTGTGTAAGATAAAAATAATGTGCATAACTCATTGAATATCTCTTGGTAACGATTTTCAATTGTTGGTCTTGCGTGGATTAGATAGATAAGATACATCAAATTCATAATGATAAATATAAATGTCTGTATGTTCGAATATTCTTCTAATTAAAAGACAAGATAGGCATAGATAAATCTTCTTGCTATAAAAATAGAGTGGTACAAAATTCCTGAGAGTTTTTTATAGTTTATATTTTCTATCAACTCATTTAGATATTTGTGCATATAATTTCTCCTACTATTATTATTCATCTGATTAACAATAAAAGGTAGCAGAAGACATGCAGATATATTTAGTGAAATGAAAATAATGCTGAAGAAGAATGATGCATATTCTCCAGCTGATTTGAGGCTTAGAATTTTAAAGTTAACAATTGTTGAAAAGGTTGATTCTAAGACCATTTCCATAAAAAATCTTATTGGTGTTGTTAAAAACAGAAATTGTTAAAGTCGCATTGATATCCTCAAAATACTAAAATAATGTTAGACAGCAAAGAAAATTACATCTTAAATTTGAACTTAAAAATTATTAGGTAAAAGCTTACCATTCCAAAATATATGAACAAAAAGATTATTGGGGGACCAACAGAATAAAGAAAATTTGAGCTATCATACCCAAGATATTCAAAATAATGGTTGTAAGGCTAGTAACTATCAGAATTTTACAGCACAAATATTGTCTATATCTGAGTATTTGACTCAAAAAGATCAAAGTTAGTAACAACAAACATGGCCTTTATAAACAGCAGAATAAATTTAGAGTATGGAATTTAGAAAAGAGGTGTATGCGATATTAATTGTAATGTATTGAGCATACCCCATAGCATTTAAACACTCGAGCCAAATATTACACTCATTCCAATACTACCAAATATTAATGCTTAGACGCTAGATGTGGCCACATGACTCGCTAATATTGCTAACTCATTTATTTCTAATTTCAATAAATATTAATGGTATCTTACATTCATCATCTGCACTTTGAAGTTAAACTGTGATTTATTAACCTATTCCAGAGACTAAATATTTTCCATCTAAGGCAATATTTAAGAATTCAGGATCTTAAAATGCAGATACCTCTAATAGTTATTTATATTTTATATCTATGATGAAGCCATTCTCATTAATATCTTATATATTCCAATAATCTATTAATGACTATTTTACTTCTTTTGAATAAGTTTGTAACTAGAAAATTTAAGACGCTAATTTCTTGAATTCTAATATGTTGGTATTAATAGGCTTGGAAAATATGATCTGAACATTGCTAGAATCGATAACATTTACTCTAAATTAAAAATCATCTGAAAACTTAAACTAATTTGTTTCATTTTTATCAATAATTTCAGGATTTGAGTCAGGTTTTTTAGCTATCTCTCTCTTTGATATTTTTATAGTTAATAAGTACGCAGTTGATAAAGGATTTAAAGTATTTTAGTCTTTTAATTCAACTATAATTTAGTATGTTCCAACTTATGAATTTGATTCAGGCATAACTTACATCTAGCTTTTGTAATAACTAATAAAATTTGGAAGTCACATATCACCAAATAAAGTTAGCTAGAGTGTTACTTTATCGTTTTCATTATCTAATATCTAGGGGAAATTATACAATATTTTATCACCAACAGATAACTAAAATACCATTTATGGATTTACAATGAAATTCGGAGCTGTATTTGTGTTTGATATGGGCGAAGGAGTTGTAGTAGTTGTTGTGGTTGTAGTAGATGTAGTAGTAGTTGTTGTTGTGGTAGTGGTAGTGGTAGTGGTTGTCGTAGACACTGTACTTGTACTTGAAGTCGTTTCAGTTTCTGCTAAAACTTATAGTTATATTGTGTAAGTTCCACTAAACAATCCCCCTATTTAAGCAGTTATAATTAAATAATGTGATCCTATATAACCTGTATTAGTTGATGAAACCTATAATTAGGCTCCCTAGCCAGCACCAAGTTGGATGAATTAAATTAAATCTGAAGGTAATGGATCACCATTTGATAGTGTAACAGAATAAATCCAAGATTCGTCGATGCAATCTGTAATACTATAAGTAAAATCATAGAAATGAATAATCATTTATCCAGAGTTGATTATATAGTAATGGATAGAGTCTAATCCAACTGGTGGACTAATTGTGCCTTGATTATATTAATATGATAAGCAGTCGCTTGGTAATGATGCTATTTTATAATTTGTTATATCTGAGTTAATTAAAGCTCCTTCTTTTTAAAATTTATAGCTTGCTGAGCTTGTTTAAGTAAAAACTACTGCAGTTAAACTAGTTATATAGGTATTCAAGGCAAATATTGTTATTTAAGTTAATGGTAGCGTTATTGTAGTTTATACTATAGAAATGCAATTTGAATGTGGGTATATGTTTAAAAATGCTGTCTTCTAGGTGTAAGAAATGGTGTTAATCTTCTATGTTGATCCTATGTAGAATAAAGAATTTGAACTAGTATCTGTGATCAATGCTACCAAAGTAAAAAGGGTCTATCCTGAAGATTACATATTAAACTATTAAAAGATAATAGATGATGCAGAACTATATGAAATGCTTCCTATTGCATTTGCCAAGAATTCTTGAAATATCACAATATACCCCATTGTAGCTGTTGATTTAATATCCAAGCAATGTGTACTCAATGATCTCGAAAGATAGAAGACTTTTGTCAAACTAATTTAATTGGTTAATATAGTATTAATAAAGTAAAGAAATGCAAGGTCAAATTTTGAGGAACCAAGATTTTCAGCACAACTGAATATATTTTAGGTTAGTCCATTATCAGCGTATCCAATTCTAGTGATTTTTTTATCAATTGAAGTCCCCGATGGATTAGTTACTTAGAGTGTAAAAGCTGACTATCCATTGGATAAACTTATTTAAGATATTGCAATATTGCTATTAATTCTCCCTCCAAGGAATATGCTAGCTAAACTATCATCAAATAATGACGCTGATTTGAAGATTGTTTTGCCAGATAAAGAGTAAGTGAAGTGCTAAGTTGGAGAGATTTCTTGAGCTATTGCTGATAATTGAAATGTACTGAAATGTAAAATCCCATTGATTGTAGCGAAAATATAAATTTTATTTGATGAATCCATTGCAATAGCTACAGAAACCATCGATAGTTCCACTTAACTTGTACCTGAATTATACAACTTAAATTGACTAATTAAATTCCCATTACTTCTTTCAAATATAAGTACCCCGAAGTTAGGAGTATCTGATAGTGATATTACATAATTCGATGCCCCATTCTAAAATTGGCAATGACTAAATTAAGACACCTTCATTGTGTTTATATTAGCTAATGACGAATCATAACTGACTTGCTTAGTCCAAATAAACTTTCCGGATTATTAATCGATTAGGGCTAAAATTGCTGAAGGATTCTAACTCACTAAGTCATTAGATTCAGATCTACCTCCGACTAAAATCTTACCATTGCTTGAGTCATAAGAAATGCATTAAAATTAAGTCAATCCATTAAGACCTCCAAGAATTTGAGGGAAATTGTAAGTCGGTCTCTGAGAAAAACAAACTTTTTATTGATCAGTTAGCAAGAATCTCTTGAAATATTCATTCTCAACTAGGCAAGTAACATGCGAAAAGATTAAAATCAATATGAATATTTCGATATTAAACTTAAATCTCTATATCATTTTTAACAATGATTTAATAATTATCACAACTAATTTTTACTATATTACATCCATGGGGTTTTGGGGTTTTGGGGTTTTGGGG